AGCCATATTCTGCCCAGGATGATGTTGTAAGTGGAGGGGACTTTTAATACCCAGAACTCTACTTGTTTAGTCACGCTTCTAGCTCTGACTGGAAGAATTATTTTGCCAACGGGCTATTCTGGCATGGAGCTGAATCCAATTAGGGGAGATACGGCTGGCGCCAGGTTCTTGTCTTGTAGCTTCAATTATTTAAATGTTTCATAGTACATGATTTCACATGAACTACCCTGGTCAATCAGAATCCGCTTGACGTCAAAATCCTTAACTCGGAGAGTGACGACCAGGGCATCATTGTGAGTGCAGTATATTCGTTCCAAGTCTTTATTCGAAAAAGACATGACGTTTGTTGCCTCTGTCTTCCCCTTCTTGATGGCAGGTTGGGCACTTAGAACTTCTCTTAAATGCTCGACTTTTTTGATTGATCCCCTGAGCTCGTATACACGCTCAGGTTCGAAAACTCCATGTATCACATTGATAATGCCTTGAGGCGGGGCGTCGATTGGCATCCCATTGGGGTTATTATGGTCCTGGGGGGCTGGTTGCGTCCCTCCTTCAATGTATTTATCCAATTGACCTACCGCCACCAACTCCTCCAGGTGCTGTCTCAATGGTGTGCAATTCTCAATGCGGTGCCCCTTTTCTTTATGGAAGGTGCACCGCGATCTTTCGTCGTAGTCTTTCTGTGCTTCTCCCAGCTTAGCTGGCCATTTGACGAAAGGCTCATCTCTTATTTCGCTCAGAATCCGATATATCGGTTTCTTGAACACCGTGGTTATGGCAGTGCGGATTCTCAACCATCTTTTATCTGGGTCTTCTCCGTTATCCCGTCTGCCACGTCCGTTTCTGTTCGGTCGATCTACCGTATTAACCTTCGCTGAGGTCTTCTTTTCTAGTACTGTGGTCGCCCCAGATTTTGCTTTGGCACGTGCGTTATCCTCTTCTACCCTGATGTGCTGATGCACTCGGGCAATCCCCAATCTGATTGAATGTCTCCCAGTAGCGACTATTGTAGGATCTAAGGGTTTCTTTATCGCCCATGTCGATGGAGAGCAATTGGTCAATCTCCACCGGGGTTTTAGTGTTCGTTCGGAACCTTGTTACGAACGCCTCTGCCAATTGCGCCCAAGAGGCTATGCTGCCCTCTGGAAGTTTCTCGAACCAAGTCAAGCCTAAGTTGCCAAGGCTAGATGGGAAGAATATGCACATTAAGGCCTCATTTCGCCTGTATACAGCCATGACCTGGCGAAAGTGGCTCAAGTGTGAGTAGGGGTCCGTCTTCCCTTCATATGTAGTGAATTTGGGCTAAAGGAAGCCTGATGGTAGGGGCGCGTTTTCAATCGCCGGAACAAACGGCGAAGTCTGCAGCCTTGCTAATGCTTTGTCCGTTGGTTCGTAGGTAGGGCATGGTATTGGCATTCCAACCTCGACGCTTCCATGCATCAGAGGAGCCAACCGCTATAAGGCAGAAACTCTGTGTGGATCCCGTGCCCTGGCATCCTCCTTGCATCGTGCTTTTTCTTCGAGTACGGTTCGTAAGTCGGATGATCTGGGTAACTCCGTCTGTCTAGATCTGGTTTGGTGTGAATGTGAAGGCCAATACGTGCTTCCTTCAGTGTATGATCTTTCAGATCTCGTCCTCTCAGACCTGGAGTGACGAGTTCTGGAAGACCTGGATTGAGTATCGCCTGTCCTGAGGCTTCTACTTTCTCCTTGCAAGAGTGTGGTATTCCTACTACAATTTTCTGAGTGGCGACGGGCGTTTTATTTTTGCGCCCCTCTCTTGTCGTCACTTCTTTGTTCTTCATCTGGCGCTTCAAAGCCTCCATGTCCGCCGCCATCTTCCTTATTAATTTGTCTTGCTCCTTCACGCGGTCCTCCAGAACTTGAGGATCAATCCTCCGCCTTTGCCTGTCAGGACTTTGTGAACGAGAGTGACGGGGGCTGTGAGTCCGTCTTCCCCTAGTATCTCTCCTGGGGTTATGTCGTTGGGACTCCAAGTCTGCCATGGGAGGGATAAAAGGTAATCCTTCACGCCTGGTCCCCCCATCTGGTGTTTGCCCGTCAATGACGGACTGTGGTAATTCTTCATTGTGCGCCATTGTTCCTCAAGAGGCAAAGCTTGATCAAGAGGTTTTGTCCTGTCTGTTATTCCCACAGACGGCGCCAATTGTACGGGAAAGAAATAAACCTTCTCGTATAATCCTGTTGACCAAGTCTACTCTCCTCCGTACGTCGTCGCTTTATCACCTGAAAACACAAACGTGAGCTAGCCGGCGGGTGTGTGCCGGAAACCTCTCTGATGCCTAAGTCAGCAAACTTGACAAATAGACAAAGCTCTGTGTATTCAGAAAGCAAAGTTGTGTATTACCTCTCCCAAGGTGATGTTTGTGAGCTATGTTTTACTAGACGAACTTCTTCACATCTCGTTCCTTATCGATGCCAATGCTTCTGCTTCCACCCACTTTGTGAAGTAGTCTGTTGCTGTGAGAAAAAACTTTCTGTTGCCGGGTGCTGTTGGAAGTGGTCCTACTATGTCCAAGCCCCACATTGCGAAAGGCCATGGGCTAGTTAATGGTCACCCCCCTCACTGCTTAAACCAAGTGAGATGATTTTTATCATGGCCGAACTCCAACATGACCGAAGTAATCATGGCTATGCTGAGCCGCAGAGTAAGCCGAACTATCCTTAGTTCGGTTCTTCCTTTCGCTACACCTTATCTCGGTTCTCTCATGTACGAACCATGGTGTGTTTAGGCCGAACTACCGAGTAGCAAGGTTCTGACCGTTCTAACCCCAATACGCCATGACCGGACTAACTTTGAGACCGGCCTAACTCCAAATCGCTTCCGGACCGGAGTGACATTACATTTATCTCGGGCCGAAGTAATTTTGTACCTCTCTTGGGTCGGAGTAACTTTACGGCCTTTTACTCAGCCCTTCGTATTGTGGGCCATAATGACCATCTCCCAGCTCGGCCCAATTTTCACAAAAATTACCCTCTCATACATGGAAAAAAAAATCAAAAGTTATTTAAAATTTAAAATTTATTTTATTTAAGTGTACCTCAAGAGGATAATTTTAAAAAAAAAATTACTAAAAATAAATTATAATTTAATAAAGTATACTAAAAAATTAAACTCACTCAAACATTTTTTGAATGTAAATAAAATCCCCCGGGTCATTGCCATTATGGGTTGCCTTCGGTCCTACTCACTGACGTAAATTGAGACAACCTTGATCAAGCCTTCCATAAATTTAGACTGAATGTTTCCCCATTTGAGGTGAATGTAGTGTTATTTGGTTTTCAAATTCAAATATAAATTTTATTTTTTTTATTTTGTCTTTATTAATTTTTTTTAAATCATAAATATATTGTTATCTTTTTATTACACTAAAATATATGTCTTATTTTATTTATTTTTATATTTTTATACATTTTACATTAATTTTAATTTTTTTAATCTTACTTAAAAAAAATGAATAATGCTATATTTATAACAGATGATGTGACATAAATTAAAATTTTTAAATGTTTGTAATTTATATAATGAATAGGTCATAATTTTAAAATGATAATATCATAATATATATTGATACAATAATTAATATATCAATTAATATGTGTAACACTGCAAACAGAAAATTATTACCAAACCAGACAAATTGAGAGGTTGGGGGCTTTAATAACATTTATGGATCTTTACAAAATCCAAATAAATTAATTGAACTTAAAAACTAAAGTCAAACTAAAGTCAACAGCTCGAGCTGTATATTGGACCCTTTTTGGTATCCCCACTTATAAAATTATTGAATAATAGTAGAAACATCAAAAATTTTATTAAATTTTTTATTAAATATTTTATATATTGACTTTTTGATCTCATTCAAACCTGCCGGGAGAACGCAGTTGCAGAGCAAACCTTTAATGCCATAAAAGAAAGAAAAAAAATTAATAATAATAATAATAATAAATTAATGGGTAGGGGACATTAAGACAAAATCTGAAAAGTTTAAATAAGTGTATTTTTTGATTTTTTTTATATTATGTGTAAAAAAAATAAAAAAAAAATATTAATTAATGTGACCTAAAAAAATAAAATAAATATACTTTTTTTTTTTTAAGTTAGTCAAACTTAACCTAAAATCAACCAAACAAGCCAAAGTATCTTTCTCCATAATAATGAGAAAGCAAATGTAAAAAGCCTGTCCACATTCACCCCCACTTAAAGACTAGTTATGTTTGATTAGACAAATTAAATTAAATAAAATTAATATTTTTTAAATTAATAACCTTTAAATTATTAATTCCTTTCAATTATACATTCTATCTCACGAGTATTTGACAAAATTTTATTAATTTAATCAATTAATTCAGACCTCTCCTTCATCTGTCATGTCGAATTATATATTTTATTAAATTATAAATTCAATCTCAAAGGTCATGTCTTAAAAATCAAACATGGCCTAGTAGGACTTTTTTAGTAAGACTTTTTTTGGGTAAGTAAAAAAAGAAAAAAAAAAAAGTCTTACTAGGCCGTGTTTGATTTTTAAGGCATGACCTTTGAGAATCCAAGGTCTAGAACAGTTTATCAAAACAACAATGATTTAGACCACTAAAAAATACATCACTAATAGCACTAATATATTGAAAATGGCAAAAAAAATAATAAAAAAATAAAAACAAGGCATAGAAAGTGGGCGGGACCCACTGCCACATCATTAGTGCTCCCTTTAGTGATCTCTTTTTAGTGCTCTCAAGCATTTTTCAGACCCAAAACAATCATTTAATGGGGTGAAAATATATTTAGAGAGGCTAACCAAACAAAGCCTAAATTTATTTCCTTCATTTCCATTTCCATTTCCATTTCCCTTGATCAATCCAAGGTCCAAACATAACACAAAAAGAGGATGTCATGAATTTGAAACTTTCCTAATGCATGTTGATAGGTGCCTCACATGGATCCTCCATTCATAAAAAAAAACAAAAAAACAGAAGAGAGATCTCTAATGAATATCCCCATCTTGAAGTTTGTATCTATGCATACATATACATCTTTATGATCTAAACCCTAGCTCTGCTCATAAGCTTTTAGTTTTGGCCAATGTTAGGGGGCAACAGGCTGGACTGTTAGTTCAACAGAAAATAAAAACACTTTACAAAAACAGAACACACTGCAACATTTTCAAGCAGCTGTTTATGCTTTCATTAAAGAAAAAATAAAAATCAGACAACGAGTAACATTTGCAAATTTGCCCCATCTTTTTGTTGTTATTTTCACAAGGGGGAAAAACGAAGAACTATAATCCTATGAAGAATTGAAACCAAACTGCTGATAAAGCTTGAGAGTCGAGGGCTAAGAAGAATGAATCAAAGATGAAGATCGAGGATGAAATCTTTGTCTACCGACTTTTGTCTAATAATTTTGCATGCAGAACCTGAAGGACGAGATGGCAAAGAAGGATTTAGGTTAGAAGATGTAAACCTACTTGAATGGCTTCTTAGCCTCTTCTTCTCATAACCCCGATCTTCTGTTCTAACTTGTCGCACCTTGGTCTCATTCAAACCTGCCGGGAGAACGCAGTTGCAGAGCAAACCTTCAAGATTTTTCAATACAACACACAATGTTAAAATTTTAATATAATCAAAGAATATAGGCACATTTCGTATGAATTTTCAGCATGGATTTAATTTGTTCTAGTCCCCTTCATCAATTGTAACTTTCTAAAAATAAGGTTAATCAGAAAATATTAAAAATAAAAATCCTATATGTCATGTACCCCAGTGATGTATTGCTGATACTAATACATATCTCAATAAGATCCAAGTGATCTGTTGACTAAGGGTATCAAGTTGGGTGTGCAAATCAAGAAGCCTAACAGAAAAAGATCCATAATCCATGTCAGACAAATAATAATATTTGAAACATATTAAACTTGATTACCAACTAATCATGCAGTGAAGTATGGGCATGGAAAACTATGAGCATAATCTATTCTCTTAATTTTGTATGGTACATGGGAACACAAAGAAGTTATAAAAATAATAAAAATCAAGTCCTAAGCAAATAGTTGCTAACTTGCTTGATTCTCAATCTCTGGTCATAAGGTCAAACTAAATCTTGGAATTCCAAAATATGAAGCAATAAATAGGAAATCTAAATGCACAAATCTAGAAATATATATATATATATATTAGGGTCAAATAATGTAGGCCAAGTTGTTCGTTGCTTTCAGGGCAAATCAAAATAGCTCAAAGAAATCTCTTCCAAAGCAACCAAACCAAAAGTAGAATGCAAGTTTGTCAATGTGGGCACAACGCAAATCCCCAAAAGTACACCAGAAAACACTACTACCCTAGCGATTTACGTTTTAGAATACACATTCTCCAAAACATAATATACTTTCATTCTAAATTAGTAAAATTAGCGATTCAAAGCGATCCAAAAAATATTGTAATATAAACTAGTCCACCATATCGTACCACATTTTAGAAAATGTGGTGTACCATGTTCCCAATCCCTTTCCACAAACCAAAACAATTCACGTTTCAATTAATATAACTACATATTATTAGCAACAAAAATGCTATAAACCATCAATATTTTCACATACTGCCTAATTGAACAATTGTCAAAAAAGACTATTTTTGAGAAAATTAAGAAATAATCATGTCCTACTATATAAGTCATGACCAAAAAAGTTATAATTGAAATAAAATAAAATGAAAAATAGCAAAAGAGGTGACAAATAGTGTTAATCAATTTGTAAACTGAGCGAGTTCTTACCAAGTCGAGCAAGTCGATTAACCCAGCTGGGTATATGCTTCCCGGTCAACCGGATACAAGCATCGTTGCAGAAATGGTTGCAATTTTTGGTGATGAGGTTGTAGGAGTCTCCCGAGTACTCCTCTGCAAGTTTCTCCATGAATGCAAGGACCTCTTTGGGACCCAAATCTGTTTTTCCGATCAAGATTGATTTTCTGAATGTGAAACCAGGGCACAGCATTGGTTCCACTTCAAATATTCCGGTGGTTGAATGATCATGTGCTCCAAATGCATATTCAACCCCATGAACTACCAAAATAAAAAACAAAACCCCTAATTTAATAGAGCCAATTTGTAGCAAATGATAATAAAGAACCAATTATTTGAAGCTTGACTTTCTGTTTGTATACTGAGAAAATGTAGACAAGCAAATGAAAACACTAGGTCGATATGGCTTTTCTAAGTTTCTTCTGAAAACAAGAATAGCATAGAACATAAATAAACTTAACAGTTCTTTATTTGTAACCCCAAACTGTAATTGAACCAACTCTATTGAACAATATGTTTTCTAGGCAAAATTTCTGTTTGGATGCCGAAACAAACAAGGAATGGAGGGGGGGGGAAATCAAATTTTTGAATCACTTCCCAGTAACCAAACAGAGGATTAGGATTATGTAAATAATTCAGATCTGTGGAGCAGTCTGCAGATAAGCATATTATATGTTTTCCTAAAAGATAAAACAAGTAAAATCACCTAAATCTATACACCATTTCCTTTCTAGGAAAATGCAACGAAAAGAAAATTGAAATTCAATTCTTCCATTACCAAGCACCTGAAAAAAATAGAAAACCTGACATACCAGAATCCAATTAATATATTTCCAAACTGGGTTTCCGTTTGGTTGCAGAGAAAATGTAAGAAAGCGATGGAAGCTGGCCAGCCCTTTTCCTTTTTTCTCAATTTTCTCGGCAACCAAACAAAGGCATAACAATACTTAACAAACACCTAAATTAACTACCAGATCCAGCATAAAAAATAAACAATTTATCGAACCTTGTACGCCAGAATGGTAGACTCCGAGGCCGACCCAGTAAGCGTAGCCATTGATGGGAGTGAGATCGTATACATTCAGGTACACAGGAACCTTTCCTGTCCTCCTCTTCCTGGGTATCATTCTGCACAACATTCTTCCTTCAAAAATCCAAAAATCAAAACTTTTGCCTCAAATCTTCCCGAAATCCAAAAGAGAGTAATATATGCAGAAGTCTGTATAGATATATACAATTTCCTCTGGTTTTGTGGGTTGGGAAATTCGAGAAAATGAGAGGAATTTCAGGTGCGAATTGGGATTTTTGGATTCGAATTCTGTTTAGTTTTTTTTGAGAAATCGCTTTTTTGATTCGTTAAAAAAATTGGGTATACTATTTTTATAAGCAAAATTGAACCCACCACCATCGCTTACTTTGGAAGAAAGAATCTTTATGACAGTAACTCCATCATTTCTCTTTTTCTCTCTCTCATCAATTGATATGAACGTTTTTAGAGTAATTTTAAGGATACCTTCGCGGTTCGGATTAGGACGGTCTCTGAATTGGTTTGGACCCATTTATATTTATATGGTTTGAAAAAAAATAATTCGTAACTGTTTGTAGTGCAGTTCATAATTTAAGCAGATAGGATTTACGGATGTGTGGACAGTTTACAGATTTGATTTTTTTTTTTTAATTTATTTTTGAACCTTATTTTTTTTTCTATTTTGTAAATATTTATTTTGGACCATTTTTTTTTCATTTTCTAAAATATTCCAACATTAATAATTAATAAATTAAAACTTATAAAATTAAAAATACAACAAAATCAATTTGTAACACAAATAAATCATTCAAAATCTTAAATCAAATCATAAACTAATACAAGCATATATTTCAAAATCCTAAACTATAACTCCATATTCATTAAGATATTTAAAATTCCAAATCACACTTCATCCGGGATAAGTTCAACTATGTAATAATAACAATATGATCAGTATTTATTTAGTTTCAGTTGATATAATACTATTAACAAATATAATGCTAGAGTAAGTTCAAAAAATAAAGAATGTTTTGTTTTGGACAAAAATATCTAGATGGGATATAGAAATGAAATCAATAGTTAAAATAAAAATAAATAAATAAAGTGCGGGCGGTTTCTTGCGGGTGCGAGTTAAACCCGCAATCCACCCGCAACCCGCAATGATGCTATATTTCAAATCGCATCCGCCTGCATTGTATTTGCGAAACCGCCTATTTGTATGCGGATTGGGCGGGTTGGGCGGTTTTTTGCGGATCGAATAAACCGTCGCCCACTCTTAATTTTAAGTGAAATGCTGTAACAGCTGTTTTTGACAAAATTATAGCGACTCCCTATGCTGTTTTGAAAGGATGGTAAAACATTCAGTGAGTTTGATTTTAATTTTTTGAATTTAATTTTTTAATAATTAAGTTTTTTATTTTTTTATTTTTCATATTTTTTTATTTTTAGTAAATATTTTTATATTTTTTTGGTATTTAGTGTAGTTTTTAAAGATTTTTTTCATAAATATTATACTTTTAAGTGTATTTATATTAGATGTCTAAAAATTAAAAAACAAATGCTTAAAATATTAAAAAAATTCATAAAAAACATTAAAATATGAAAAATAAAAAAATAAAATTTTTTGAAAACTATTTTCTACTGGAACCAAATCATCTTTTTAATTTTTTTTTATAACTTTTTTAATATAAAAAAATAAAAAAATTATGTAATTTTAAAAAAAATTTAAATAGTCAAAAAAATACTTTTTAGGAGTTTGTCAAAACGCCCCTCTATCAAAAATAACACCTTATCTGTTTGGCCTTGTTTGGATTGATTTGGCAATCCTAAACGTACGTTTTTAGTTAGAAAAAATATCATATAAGCTATACTCAAGATAATTTTTTTTAATCGACGAGAGTCAATTATTAAGTGATTTTTTAAAAAATTAGTAAAAAGTTAATTTTTTGACCTTTGGGTTTTTGGCACAAAAGGTTAGGTTCTTTTGGGGTAAAAAACTGTGTTTTTTGGTTAAAAAAATTAGAAGTAAAAAAGTTAGCTTTTTACCCTTGTTGCCAAAACGCCCCTAAATTAGCACTTATGAGAATTAATATCTCCATATTTATTCCCATATTAATAAAGTATCAAGTAATTGCCTTATAATTCAATTCCTTTTTAGACTATGTTTAGTTAGGAAATTTATAAAAAGAAAGAAAAAAAAGTATGTGAAATGTGAATTTAGAGATTTGCATGCGGTTGTGCCCCTTTGAGAAGGCTCGTCTCGAGCCTCTTTCAATAATTCAAACTGTTCATATTATAAGGTTTATTGAGTAGATCATCTATGCAAAAGATCAAGTTGATTGGATATCCGCAATCCTATAATAAAAGCATTTTTTAAAAAAATTTACGAATAACATAATTTTGATAATTTTTTAAAAACAATTGGGATCTAATCATGAAGTTAGAAATATCCGATTAATTTGATTTTTTACATGGATAATATTGTTGACGTATCTTACAATATGAACAGTTGAAATTATCGAAAGATACTTGGGACTAGCCTCCACAAAGGGCACAGCAAGGCACAATAGCACTCCCCAAGTCTGTAAAATATAAGTATATATTTTATTTACATTTCACTTACATTTTCTCTTTTCCTGTCTGAATATCTTTTCCAATCTCTCAACTAAAACATAACGTTAAAAAAAGTTAAACCCATGACCTCTCCATAGAGATTAAACCCTTAGAAAAGTCACAGTGGCTAACTAGGTTAGGCCTAATTAGTTAATCTCATGAAATTATGAATATTTTTGGAGAATGGAATTAAGATTTTCATGGAAAGGTGACAATGAAAGGTAAAACTACAATTTTGTTGTTTATTTTACAAAATGAAGAAATTTATTTTCTTTATATAGTTAGTATTTTTATTTCCAACCAACTAATATCACTATATTACTATACATATAAACATAATGATCTTATATCTCTAATTTAATATTGGCACATTAATAATTTAGTCATTCAATTTCATCGTATTTATAATCATATCTAACTTAATCTTATAGCATGGCCTCAAGTAGTGGCGGAGCCAAGATTTCGATTTAGGAGAGGCAACATTAAGTTAAGATCATACTGATCAACCACAATACAAATAATTTTGATTCTTAATGGAGGGTAAAACAATTAAAAATGAACACGGTTTCATATTTAAAGTTTTAAAGTTATGCTTAAGTTAGTTAGTTTTGTTTTGCTTTATGTGTTTTGATTTTTGATTGTTTATTTATTATTAATATGATTTGCTATTTTAGTTTTGTGAACATGATGATCACTATAATTTAAAATGCCATTACATGCTATTATCAAAAATGAGAATGACAAAATTACACCAAAATACCTCCAAAGAAAAAAGAGAGTGGAAGAGAAAGACATGAGAGAAAAGAGAGAAATAATATAGAATTTAAAAGAAAATATTTTAGCAAAATTAAACATTTACAGTGAAAAATTACAAAAATTTGTATTTTATTTTTAATTAATGAATTATGTTATAATGAAACTAATGAATTATAATCATAATGAAAATCAATAGACCATATAACTAATATAAATAAATATTTTAAAAAATAAGAGAGGGAAATCACAAATAAATAACAAGGAAAATACAATCAATAACCAGATTGAAATATTTGAACCTCTAACCTCAAAATGAAAAATGCAAGAATTTTGACTAATAGATTAACCCTGTTGCAAAGATTTTGTCAAAAACAAAAACAAAAACAAAGATGAGATATAAAAAATTATGACATACTTTGAATTTTAAAAATTAACTTAGTTTTCAAATAGAAGTAAAAGTGTAATTTCCAAAAATTGAGGGGGGCGCACATGACTCTCCTGGTCCCAACGTGCCTTCGCCCCTGGCCTTAAGTGCCTCAATAACAGCCTTGAAAATACACACGAAATTGCAATATCTATTTTAGTCTCTTTTTTTTGTGTGTGTGTATACACTTTGTTAAGGCTCTCTATTTTAATTATTTTATTTTATTTTTTAATGAGAACAAAAAAAATATATAAATTATTGAGAGTATAATAATGTACGGGGAGCAAATATTCAGGCAAGCCCGTGCTCCCTTCTTCCAAGCTCCGCTTCTGACCGATCACCTGTGCACACAAAGGCGGTGAGCTACCTGGCAGTGTGTGGCCGGAAAACCTCTCTGACGGTCAAGTTAGAACACACACCAAGGATAGATAGAGAGAAGGGAAAGAATTGTGTTTAGTGTATGTCTCACCAAAATATCATTTGTTCAGCATGGGGGGCGCAGACTCGCTAATATACCTTCTGCGCCCCAAATCTACTCTCATCCGTCTCTCAACACGTGGTGCTGTTATCCCATCTGTCAGCACAAATCTTGCTGAGCATCGCCTAATCCCAACTGCCAGCCTACTGTGCTGGGAGCTCGGTAGCCGGTCAACATTATCTCGGCTACCAACGGCCATTCCACACTTAAGCCCAAGCGCTCCATAATCGAGCTACTCCAGGCCATGTTCAATATCGACCGTGCTCGGCTACATTCCGACAGAGCCGAGCTCGGCTCAACTCATGTTGGTTGGATGTCGGCGCTCCCACGAAGCTAACTCTCGAACCGTGGAGCCCAGTGAGGCAGCGAACAACTCGGCTTAGCCCTCACTTGACCGGTCCTTGTGCCGTGAAGCACCGCCTTGTCAGTGCCTAGCCTTGACCGAGCAACACTCTCTAGACAGGCCCAAAACTTCCACGGCCCAATGTGTTCAGCCCAAATCTGTCCGGCCGTTACCACGGCCCAATTTCAGATCATAAATCTCCCTCTCAAATAATATTCTATGAATTTACCTAATCATCCATGTTATTCAAATGTATTTAACATAGAGCATTTTCAATTAAGGGTGGACAGATCTTGAGTTTCGCATCTATGTATCATTCAAATTTGGTCCGATCCAATATCAAGCTTTAGCAATCTCAAGGTTTGTCTTAAATAAATTTCAAATCCCAAACATGCTCACTTAACCTACTAAATATGAGTTATTATTTTTACATAA